ACCACCACGACCACTACCACTACCACCACCACGACCGCTACTACGAACACGACCACGACCACGACCATAACCACCACCACCACTACTACCACCACTACCACTACTACCATCCCTACCACTACTATTATACTGCCACTACTTCCGCTACCACTCCTACTCTTCTTGCTGAGGCGGCTATGTTTGATACTACAGCAGGAGCGACATTGCCACAGCAGGGCACTGCATGGCAGTGTAGCACTTGAATGGTAGCAACAGCAAGCGGATGACTTGCCGAGAATAAGGGAGTCGGCAGCAAAACAGACGGAACAAAGGAGATGTGATCGTTCATTGTCCTCATGTCAGGAAGGAGCAAGGTGCCGTGATCTGAGGATCTTGGAGTTTTGTGGCAGTGTGGCAATCGGCACGCAGGAGTCAGTTGTTGTGCATGAGGGGAAGCCAGTGCAGCAAGCGGAGGAGAAGACCACAAGCTTTGCCCCAAAAGCTTTTTTGATGTGAGACTTCAGACAGAGTTTCTTATGTTCACACCGGTGTTCCGGCTGAGGCCTCGTGCTGACACTGCCAGTCGGGCTCCTGCAAGAAGCTTCGAGCAATCATGAGTTGTGTGATGACTGCTGAGGCACAGCTGTAGTGAGCTCCTCAGCCGGCCACACTTCTACATCGCTGGAGGGAGTGGAGGCATGGCAGACGACAGAAACCATTGCACAGTTTTCCACAAAATGTTTGTCTGTCAGAGCGTGGCATGGGAGTCTTTGGCATTTCGGCCGGATGCCTGGGCGACAAGTCGCGCCTTTTGAGGAGCATGAAACAGAGACCCAGGCAAGATTTGTGGCCACTGCGCTCTTACGCTCACCACCCGGAGGCCCACAGCTGCATGTATTTGCACTTTCTCCGTAAAAGGTTGACGAAAGCCACTCTCAGAGCTGTCTTTAACGAATTGTAACGGGCCGGTGGGTGGGCAGGTTCCGGGGGCGGGTTTGGGTTGCAGGCAGGGGTCCCTGGCCGACCCACCGGACGAGATTCTGCTTGGTCCCGGGAAAGGAGTTCACAGCGAGCTTCCGTCTAATTTTAAAGCTACGCCGCCCGCCTCGGCAGCTGAGGGCCAGAAGGCACGGAAAGCTGCGGCTTTGCATGAGTAGTCTACTGGGGGTGGAAAATGGACGCAAAAAGCGGGTGGTTCCAACCGTTTGAAATGCAGGGAGAAGGATTAATGTTAGGGTCCCTTTAATAAACCCCCCCCCCCCCCTGAGGTCGTTTTGCGCGGGG